CCCCCCTCCCCCACGAATTAAAAATGAGATGTAAAAAAGGCACAAAGGCGTAATAGGGGGAGACTATTAAGGTAAAAAAAATATATAGGCCTATAGATCTAATCTTCGTAACCATCTTGACTCTAAAATAACGCATACTTGGGTTTTCCTGAAATTTGTTGTAGTGGACATATAGATCTAGTTGGGGTTTGTGGTTTTTGTTGTGTGGTTGTTGGTTGTTTTTTCGATTGTCTTTTTGCCTATATATTTTTTTTAAATCTCAGTATTTCCACATTTATTCTACTCCAAAAGTAATAATTTCCCCAGACTCGACCCCTACCTCTGTTTTTACCTCTGACGATTCATTCTAATGTATTTACCTCCTCCCCCCTCCCCAACAGAGAGTAATAATAATAAACTATAGTGCGGTCAAAAATTCGTGGTGCAACTTATCTTCAAATATCTTTGTAACGGGTGAATCAGTGTCATCCATACTTTTCCTAGAATTTTGTATCAGTTTATCGTAACTAAATCATATTTTTTCCAGAACAAATTGGGCTAGATTTAAAAACTTTTCTTCATAAATTTATATTAAATACTTGAAATCGTTGTCACACGTAAAATGATATTGTTCACAGCACTTCCCGCTTCTCACACACATTTTGATTACATGTGGCTTACGTCACAGCTCATTAATCACAATTTTCATTTGCAAAACTTGTTACGAGAAATTATTGTTATAGTGAACACAGTTTTGCACTAGGGGCTCTCAAAACATGCGTTCAATAAGCATAATGTCCCGATGTTAAAACACCTGACGGACTTGCTACTAAAAGTAAAAGCAATATTGCCCCAGCTGTAAACATTTAAAAATCAGAAGAAACCACCCACTTGGATTTTTTATTAGTATTTATTAAGGAATTTTCTAGAATACAGCTTGCAGGTGTTTACAAAAATGTTGATCTATTAAGAAAAATTGATACAAATCACTGTGCAAAAATTGGAGAACCTATGTTCGATAGTTGAGGAGATACATGTATTTGAAAATAAGTCGTGCCATGAATTTTTGACCGCACTATAAGAAGGCTAGTTTTAATACAGTTTTGAGTTGTACAACACTTGCAACACAACTGGGTCATATAATGAGGGCCAAAGATTAGTGGTGTTGCAACTATAGAGAGAGTAACCTACACAGAACGGGAGGAGAGAAAAAGGACGATATACGATTGGCAGGAAAGTGGGAGAAAACCACATCAGAGCGTCTGCCAATCACCAACGATCTATCGCAACTTC